TTTGCGGTGGCGGCGGCGGGGGCTCGCAGGGCGACGAGGAGGCGCACGCGTCATCCTCGGCGGCGGAGGAGCTCTCCCCGGCCCCTTCCGAGAGCAGCAAAGCCTCGCCGGAGAAGGACTCCCTGGGTAAGCAGGATGCGCCAGAGGGCTCAGTCAGGCGGGCACACAGGCAGAACCAAGCAAAGGAAGGAGTCCAGAACCAGGAGCCCGCGCAGCAGCTGGCCGGCCTTGGCCCAGCTGCAGGCAGGCTGACCTTGTGAACTTGGTTTTTAATATTTGGGCGTGGGGACGCAGTAAAAATTCATGTCCGGCTTAGCGCCCCACACCAAGACGTCCTCAGCTCTGGCCCCAGCTCACCCTGACTCGAGGCGACGACACCAGCGAGCAGACCCCCTCCTGTGCATGCTCTTCCTTGTAGCACCGAGCACCCCAAGCCGTGGTCCCGGCCCAGCCTGCACGGCGCTGCCCACGCGGGGGGAGGGGGAGGGAGGGAAAGTGGCTCGCCCGCAGATAGCACGGATGTTTGTAAGGCATCCAAAATAAGCAGCAGCCAGCGCCAATAAATAAGCCCATTAACCGGCGAAGTTCGAGTTTACGATCCCCCATGCCTTTTTCAAAGTTGCCGGAGGGGCGGGAACCCTTGTTCGAGGAGAAGAAAAAGCAAATCCGGCCCGGACGCCGGGGCCCTGAGCTGAAAGCCAGAGAGGGGCCATTTCGTTTTTTCCTGGAACTCGGAATCACCCAGCTGCACACCCCTAGCTCTTGGAGAGGTGCGCGGGAAGTCCCCAGAACACAGAATCAGTTTTTCGTGCATTCCCCGAAATCCCTTCTCCTTTTCCCCATCAGGTCTGGGGTAACCAGGGGGCTGGGATGAGACAGCTGAGTTGCTGCCCCCCCACCCAAGTAAGCATCCCTCACCCCCCACACACAGAGGCTGCAGGAAGTGCTCCCCTGCCATAGGGCAAGATGCAAAGAAAAGCGTTAAATTCAAGATGTATGTACAGCCTCCCTGTCCAGGCCTTTCATTATACAAGCATCCCTGCAACTTTGAGCCAAAGCAGGTGTTTGAGGCAGGGAAAATGGAGAAAAATACAAATTAGGAGGGTGGGTGTGAATTGGAGGCCTACTAGATTTTGTGGTTTTGCCACGAGTTTTGGAGGAATGACTTGTTTTTCACACCCCAAACCTGGGCATAACCCTCTCTGTGTGCAACTTGGGCTGTACCTCTTCTGGAAAAGGCATCCCGAATTCACCCCGCACGGAGCCTGCATGGCCTCGACTTAACTTTCCCCCTATTCTCTTAAAATCCAGGCAATTCCAAAGGCGAAAACGCAGCCAACTGGCTAACGGCAAAGAGCGGCCGGAAGAAGCGCTGCCCCTACACGAAGCACCAGACGCTGGAGCTGGAGAAGGAGTTTCTGTTCAACATGTACCTTACTCGAGAGCGGCGCCTAGAGATCAGTCGCAGCGTCCACCTCACGGACAGACAAGTGAAAATCTGGTTTCAGAACCGCAGGATGAAACTGAAGAAAATGAACCGAGAAAACCGGATCCGAGAGCTCACAGCCAACTTTAATTTTTCCTGATGAAGCTCCAGGCGACACCGTTTTTTCTGCCTCCAGAGCGCTGCCGGTCCCCTCCGTCTTCAGCCTCTGCCCCGAACTCGCACCTGTGCTGGAGCCCTATGCCTCCCTCCCACATTCGCCATCTCCCGGGGAAGTTACATCTGTGCAGGGCTGGTTTGTTCTGACTTTTTGTTTGTCTGTTTGCTTGGTGCTGGTTTACTTGTTTTCTGGGGGAAAAAGCCATATTGTGCTAAAATTCTATAGAGGTAGATATTGTCCTAAGTGTCAAGTCCTGAATGGATTGGGTTTGCTGTCTCCGGGTCCCACTGCTTGAAATGGCCCCTGTCCTCCTCTAGGGGCTGGTTTCCTGCCCAGCCCTGGGCAAACCTGGCCGGAGGCCTAGATCCCATTGTCGGTGTAGAGGTGTCTGGCCTGAGGTCAATGGTGCAAGGAGCCACACCGGGCATGCCTGCCTGGAGTGCTGGGCTGTGTTTAATCAGGGGATATAGGCCTCTGGGCTTCTTCTTCTTCTTTTCCTTTCTTCCCTTTTTCCTTGGCCAAGAGAAGGGCATGCAGGCATGGATATGCAGGTTGACACTAGGGCTTGACTTTGGCTGATTGAAAAAGTGAGAAAGAATCAGATTAATTTTTCCTTCCTCTGTAAGATATCCCAGCTTTATAAGAAAAAGGAAAAAATAATGACCAAGAGAAGGAAACTTCTCTTCCAGTTTGTATAAGGTCTTGCATTGCCTGACTGAAATGTTTCATTTACCTCTGAATTTCCATATCCTTCTGGCTGTTGATAAATAATGTAGCTTTGATTATACATGTGGAATTGGTGGAATTTTGTCATTAAAATAGTTACCACTGGTAACACTCGAAAAGCACACCACAATTCTCCCTATATTGTGGAGTTTTTAAAATTCACTTTTTTGGGGGCTTTCTGAAATTCATGGAAGCCTAGGATGGCTGGGGCAAACAGAATAAACTAGAGAAGGGAGACATTGTTTGAATTTCCTTTATACTGTGAAGTAACATGCATAAAAGGGTCAAACCTGTAGGTGCAGAAAAAGAAAAAAATTATAAATACAAATCTGTATAAATGTCTATTATTATGAAAAATCGCCAATCTTGTTTTAAGCAAATGCATTCTATCGTTATTATAAATGTTAGTGCTAGCTCTATTCTAATCTTAAATCAGAATAAATTAATATTGTATTGCTGCTGTGCGTGGAAAAAAGACGATGTTTATGTTCTTATAGAATAAAAGCTGTGGAATGAAGCTTTTCAATTTTACCTCTTTTTTTACTTCTTATCTTCACTTTCCACTTTATCCCGTCGACCACTTTTACAACAGGAGTACTAGCCTGAGCCCCCTGCAATTACTTTAGGCATCTATTTAAATATTACCTAGACGGTCGTAATTTGTCTGGGCCCTATAGCCCTGGTGCCCTAAGGTTTGTCGGCTTTTGTTCAGTTTTATGACTTGCTAGTATATCTGGATTGTGGCTGTCTTGGACTAGTGGTTTCAGTTGAGAGGGGAGCTGCACAGATAGAGGAAGCTAAACAGGATTTCTTTCTGGAGCCTCAGACAGGCTCTCAGAGGCCAGTTATTTTGCGGGTTCCCAAATCCTAGATGACACTAAACCTAAATCCTGGGAGCAGGCCGGGCCCACAGCGCATCACTAATGCCTTCGGCAGTAGTTAGGTGGATCCGGGCCGGTGTGCCCAGATCCGCTGGGGTCGCCCCCTCCCCCAGCACGGCCTCCCCCACCTGGCCCACTGAGGGCCACGCGTTTCCTGCTCGGCG